AATAATTGGGTCTTATTAGATTATTTAATCTTCTCTTGGTTAATCTTATCTTGCCAACCAAACGGGGCCTTAGTATAGGAGATTATACGGTAACTGGTAAGGTATAGTTGGTCAGTATGTAAGATAAAATTAGTCAAGATAAAATTAAATAATCTAATGAAATATAATTATTTCATTGGACTTCAGTACGTCTGATAAAAAAATTCTTTAAAATGCAAGATAAATCATTATCACATAATATTTACAGATCGACCCAACAACTTATTAGCAATATCAAACATCAAACAAAATTCAATTATATAGTTAACAATAGCTAATCTACCCAGCCAAACGAGGTCTTAGCCTTGTCAGTTAGCAATCTATATATTTGATGGCCACAACTCTTCAAATGGGCTTCTTTATTGAAAAACTTAGGCCCAAAAATCAAAAACCAAAGTGGTGGCCCATAAAGGCCCATCTCCATAGAGTTCAAGCCCACAATGAGGCTATTGACTTCTATAAATATCTCTAATCCTCATAATTAGAGTTAAATCACTCTTAAATTTTTTAATTATTTTCAAAAAAAATTCTCACACCTTTAAAATGTAGAATTTTGACTTGAGCGCGGGAGAAATTTATAAGACCAAATATTGGCTTCTTGAAATTCTAGTGAATCTCACTTATCAGATTCCATTGTGGAAGTTTGGAAGATATCATTTTATCTAAAAAATTCACCATGATAGATTTCAAGTGAAATCATATAAGAAATGTACGTTTATCCAGGATATCTATATTATTGGTTGTGTATATATTCATTTAAAAAGAAAAACAAATTCCATGATTCAAACATATGATAAAAGAGATTAGCGGATCAGCCGATATTTAATATAAATCGGATTCCACTAATTTGTTGGCATGTGGCACTCTTAAGTCTTAACTCTTAATAAATCATGTTGATTCTAATTAGGGTTAGAGGGGTTATGTGTTCTGTTGAGGTTTTCATTTTCCTTTTTTTTTTCTCCAATTATTAGAATTCTAATTATATTTTAAAATCATTCACGTGTCAATCATTCTATGACATCCGATTTTCCTATCAATACAGACCATTCAGTCTAAATTTGCACCCAAAATAAAACAATAAATTGGCTATACATTATTCAAACTATGCGCCATTTTGATTTGTCAGAAAATAAAGCATAATTTTGCTAGTGTAAATTACGGTCAGCCCCATGAGGTAAGATTAAATTACAAAAATACCCTTTACGTGTGAAAAAAATTATAGCCATTTCCTAAACTATGTATCGTCTTAAACATCTACTCTTATAAAATTAAATTTATCTATTAAGTGAGGAATTTTTCCGCAAGACAATGCAGAGTTCATAGTTGATTGTAATTACTCAATGATAATGGTTTCTTTCGTAATTAACTTTATCTTAGGTTTTGGTTGTAATTTGCACAACGATATAAGATGTATATAAGTTTTTACAAGTACAATTAAACCTCTATAAATTAATACAGTCGAGACTAGAAAAAATCTATTAATTTAGCAATATTATTAAATTATCGATATTATTAAATTATCGAGTTGATAATTTAATATGTTTTCAGCGAGTCAGGACCGAGAAAAACTATTATTTAAAATCGCAATATCTGCACAAGTATTGGATAGTTCACTTTAATTTTTCTTGTATATCTACAAGATCTATTTTCTGATTTTCTTGAAGAAGAAGAAGAAAATGAAAACTAGGTAGCAAAAAAAAAAAAAAACTGTGGGCGTATCCTAAAACCCCCAAATTAAAAAAATCAAAAACCCTAGAAGGAAGAAAAAAAATAATGGAGAAATCGCAGCAGCAGGCTGTTTGCGGCACTGAAGCAATCGATCTGCTCAACTGCGTCGCTCAATCGCCTTACGATCAAGACAAATGCCTTTCCCTCCTTCAAGCTCTGCGTCAATGCGTCGTCGATCAGGTAAATTCCCCCAATCTGCATTTGTTTCATAGTTCCGCCAAATTCCGATGATTATTATTAATTTTTTTTTTATTTTTTTTTTATTTTGAATTTTCCCCCATTTGTTAACTCTAAATTCCAATTAGTATGTTTCTTGTGGTTGATTAGTTGCTACATTCTTTGGATTGTGACCTCATTAATCAGTTGCTGAGGGTTTTATGTCAGGACACAGATTTTACTTCTTCTGTGTGGTAAAAATATGGTTTCCCAATTAAAACCCAATTTATTTTACTGAATCTAGTGCAGATAAATATGTAATCTTGGCTGAAAACAAAATTATATTTGTTCTTATGTACATGGAACCATGAAACTCAACTGGTTCGTGTTTCCCGCGGTTTTTAACTGGAGAAGACTAAGCTTTAGTTTGTTTTGCGGATGTTCGGATCACTTTAATTTTTACCCGGACTTTCACTTGACTTGATGCCTATTCATATTGGTTTTAGATTTGTCGTTCGGGGTGATCGAGTTTCACATTCGTAGATGGGGGGTTAAGAATATCAAATAATATAATCTCTTTGCTCATAGCCACATCATTATATTCTTCAATTTTTTGGTCGTCGTAAATTATTTCCAATTTTGTCCTAGTAAGGGAAAACTAACTTTCGGGTAATAGTTTTATCTGTTAGGCAGTCTTAACTGTCGTTGGTCACTGCATTACTTGGGATGTACTCGTTTCCGTAGTGATTTAGTGGGATCAAGCAAATAAAGAAAGGCCTAATTGTTTGCCCTCGTCAAATATTTTTTATGAATACGAGGTATGTTATGTGATTCAATCAACTTTTAGATTAGGTTACATGGTTACATCGTAAATTAGGTCAATGAAGGTTTGGGGATAAATCATTCTTTAACATACTACCCCAATTAACTCTGGAATCTCAATCAACCCTTCGTTCTGAATTCTCATACATGTTTAGTATGTTTACGAGGACCAATCATACTAGAATCTTGATGGTTTACATTTTCAGCTTATATTATTTAACTTTGTATGTCAAAACTGAATTTAACATATTCCGAATTTCTCTCTTTTGAAATATTTTCCATGTCAGAAAGTGAAGAAGTTCTCCCTGGCAGAACAGAGCAAGGAAAAAGCAGAATCAAGTGAAAAGAAGCAAATTTAATTATGTCGGGAGTTTGTATATCGAGTAATATTGGCATATTCGTCTTGTTAATTGCTAGCTAATTACTAGTTGAACTAAGTTTGTTGCATCCCATAAAATTTTATTTCCTCCCAGATTATACGGTCTAGATTTTGTGGCAAATGCAGCTCTTTAACTTCGGTAGCATGAAAATAGAAAACATTCTGATGATGCTTACATCATATTATCTTGATGCAGTTTGTTAGTCTGTTCTGTAACACTCATTTCTGCTATCTTGTTTATATATATATATATATATATATATATATATATATATATATATATATATATATATATATATATATTAATATATATATGGGAAAATATGATATGATTGCATTGAATATGCATTTATGTATATTTACTTATAATTTTGTTTGTTAATAAATATAGAGATTGTTGATTATCTTTTTTTTTTTATATTCAAATTCATCATTTCATAAAATAATGTTACGAAATAAGGTTTGTTCCATACTACAACGGTTGAACTTCATCGGGTTATATATATTAAATGCCCGTCTGGCTAAAAAAAATTTAATCAGCTGAGAAATTCTTACATCTGATATGAAAAGTTTAATCAGCTGAGAAACTCTTACATCTGATATGAAAAGTCAAAATTGGTAGAGGTACATTTTTTAAAGGGTAAATAGCACTTAACCCCCTTGTGGTTTGGACATTTTGCACATGACCCCCTTATGGTATGAATTTAGGCACATAACCCCCTTGTGGTTTTGACATTTTGCACATGACCCCCTTATGGTATGAAATTAGGCACATAACCCCTTGAATAGAAAACTGAAAAGACTAAATTACCCCTATCAAGTCAAAAAAATTTGTTTTAATTTAAAAATAATTATTCTATAAAATGAAAAGCTTAATGTACTTTTTTGTAAAATGAGAAATATAATATATTATTGTGTTTTTTTCTTTAATTTTACTAATTATTGTACGATTGATAATTTATTCGATTTTAAAAATCAATTTGAAAATCTTTAACATTGTCATTAATTATGATTATTATATTACTATTTGCTAGATAATGTATTATATTATAGCTATTATCAAACTTTAATTTTTTTAAGAAACAAAGTCTTTATTCTTTTGATTCTTTTGGAAAAATCTAAAAAAAATATTTCTCTAAAGTTGAAATGAAAATTAAATTTAAAAAAAAAATGTGCGGTAAAATAGAAAAAACACAATAATATATTATATTTCTCATTTTACAAAAAAATACATTAAGCTTTTCATTTTATAGAATAATTATTTTTAAATTAAAACAAGAATTTTTGACTTGATAGGGGCAATTTAGTCTTTTCCAATTTTCTATCAAGGGGGTTATGTGCTAATTTCATACCATAAGGGGGTCATGTGCAAAATTTCAAAACCACAAGGGGGTTATATGCCTAATTTCATACCATAAGGGGGTCATGTGCAAAATGTCAAAACCACAAGGGGGTTATGTGCCTAAATTCATACCATAAGGGGGTCATGTGCAAAATGTCCAAACCACAAGGGGGTTAAGTGCTATTTACCCTTTTTTAAAAGATCTTATTTGTTCTGGCTTATTTCTTAAAATTTTAAGATATTTTTAAAGAAAATTACCAAACACTTTCAAAGAGCTTAAAAGCTATTTTAACAACTCATAAGCTTAGTTAAACACACTCCAAATCCTATTTCCCTTGATCATTATCAAGTAAATGACTTTTTATAGCCCTTGAACAGTTAAAAAAATATATTTCGAATAACTTATTAATGAAATAGTATTGAACACTGCATATTTTGTCAGCTAAACATGTTTATTTCCTACACATATCTACATTTAGGATATTTATTGGCCTATTTCTACCTACCTGCAATCCAATTCAAGAAACGTAAACATGAAACGAAATATGTTGCCATTAAATAAATATGTCTGTTAAAAAATATTTGCAAAGGGTTTTATCAATACGGTAAGAGTAAATAAAATCATCCAGCTTCAATGCATCCGAAATCAAAAGTCGAGGCCACACACTACGTTTCCTCTGAGCTAGATTCGTTCCCAGTTAATCAAAGTCTCGAAAACCACGAAAACCGAACACGAAAAAACGAAAGTGATTAATTTAATTCTCCATTTTCACAAACTCAGAAATTCGACGGAGCATCAAATGTGTGGATGAGATACGTAAGCACCAAAGCCAACACCATTAGCCCGTATGCAATGCCCTGGTCAATCGCAGTTCCTGGTCAACCCAACGTACACTAATACATTAGCAAAAAGTTTACAAATGCTGCATGCAAATATCAAAACTGCCACTACTAGTTGTGTAAACCCGAGCATTTAGTTTAAGCAACGGGCGCCACATAACTAGACAAAATACTGTAGCAACTTCCAACTACTACGCTCCTATATATCTAGAGGGAACAAAACGAATACATCATTCGGCAACACTTATAAAAATTAAGATGCAATAGTATTTAGAATAGAAGTACAGTAGAACCTCGATAAATTAATACTCAATAAATTAATAACCTCGCTTAAATAATAGTTTCTTCTGGTCCCGACTCAGTAAAAACCTACTAAATTATTAATTCGATAATTTAATATTCCGCTAAAGTAATAGAATTTTGCTAGTCCCGACTGTATTAATTTATAGAGGTTTAACTGTATAATTAAAAGCAGAAGTATACAATATGGCTCAGCCATTCACAAAACACCTTAACGAGTATATGTAAAATAAGGCCGTTACATATGTAAAAAAGATTATTGGGACAAACACTAGTTCAATGTAAAGACCGGTTTAAATAACGACGACGACACAAATGGCTTATTGTTTCCATTGTATAGTTGTTTAATCAAAACCTCGATGGAAATTGTGTTGACGACACAAAAGACCGGTTTAAATACGGATTTCTCCATGGTTACTTGCTTTCCGTAATTTCACATTTTAACGATTCTTTGTGTTCCTTTTGCTTTTCATATATCCCTATTAGCCAAACAATTAAATTGCTTAAAGCTTATTAATCAATTAGGAATTATGAGATCATTATCAAAAAAACCATTAAAACCAGAGCCAATCGAATCCTCTATTCCCAAAAAGGAAAATATTTCTGGTTTCTTATTTGATTTGTTTTCATCCAAGCAAGATTAAATTAGAAAAATAAATACAAGATCTTATAATTTAGAACAAACGGCAAAACCAAATCTTTCTAGCATTTCCTCATCAACATTGTTTTTTTTTTTTTTTAAATATTGCACAAAATTCAAATATATTTTTCCAGAAAAAAAAAAAAAAAGTCACATGTACGAACATTATAATCAAATTTTCCGAATCAAATAAAAAGAAAAAAAAAAAAAAAAAAAAAAAACTAACCGTCACTGGTGGGAGCAGGAGCGGGGGCTAAACCGCCATTGCCATGGCCGCGAACAACAGGAGCAAAGATTGCAAAAACAAGGCGCAACTGTGGCAAATAAGCCAAACGAAGGCTTGAAATTCAATGCCATTTCCTTATTTAATTTTATTTAATTTTGCCCCTCTCCCCTCGGCTCTCTCTCTCTTCTCTCTGGTAATTAGGGAACTGGATCCGTACAATTTGGCTTTCTTTCTCTCTCTCTATGTTTAGAGAGAGAATGAGAGAGAGAGAAACAGGGGAGAGAAGGAAGGAATAATAAGGCAATGCAAAATCTAGGGGAGTAATTGGGGTATTTATAAAGGAAATATGCCATTATTTATGTTTAGCAAATTGCGATTGTTTCTTTTTGGCACCGTAGATATTAAAGCTAAATTAAATAATATTTGCATTTAATATCTTTAAGTTCTTAACTATATATAAATTATATAAAAAAAAAGGGTAAATAGCACTTAACCCCCTTGTGGTTTCACTATTTGGCACATGACCCCCTTGTAGTATCAAATTGGGCACATTACCCCTTTAAGGTTTGATTAAGTTAGCTTCTATTAACACCATTAACAGAAAACTTGAAAAGACAATATTACCCCTTAAAATAAGGCAAAATCACATCGGCACCAACTGGTGGTTGGTTTCTAGAATTTCCATTTCTTCTCTTGTAATTTATTTATTGTAACTTAAAAATATGTACCGTTTCTACAATTCTAATTTTCAATTATTAAAATTTGAATTAAATGTAAAACTACAAATTTAATTCCGAACAATCTATTTATTTGCTGAAGTCCACTTCTAAAAAACAATTCTACGGATTTCAAATTTAACTGCCACTAATTAATTATTATTATTATTATTATTATTATTATTATTATTATATTTTTTTTTGATATTTTTTTTTAAGTTTCAAAGTTTGAAAATCCTAAATATAATTTTTATTTTTCTGAAGCTTCCAAAGTTGGATGAATATATAAATTTCAAAAGTAATATTTAAATTAATTTCTTGAATTTCCAATTAAATCAAAAAAATTGTCCGAAAATGTGATATTTGAACTCACCAAACTCTATCCCTAATCATATATCATACACAATTAAAAAACAATATCAACCCAATTTCCACCTAAACAACAACCCTAAATTAGTTCCACAATTACAGACAATTACAAACCCGATATTAACTTTGTATTAGAAAGGAAAAGAAAAAGGAAATGAAAAACGAAAATGGAAAAACAAAGAGTGGTAGGGTGTATTAGTCTTTCTGATTAATCTACATTGACTTGTCATTACAATCACTCGCTTTATGATGGTGTGATGTACACGCACCGTTAAGTTGGAAGGAAAGAGTAACGGAACTACCTCAATCAAACATCAAGGGGGTAATTTGCTAAAATTGATACCACGTGGGGGTCATCTGCCAAATGGTGAAACCACAAGGGGGTTAAGTGCTATTTACCCTTAAAATTTAAGATCAATTGACTAAAATCTAAATCTTTTAAGAATAAATTTGATAAAAAAATAAAATAAAATAGAACTGGGTTTGCACTTAGTTTAGCCTACGTATCCTCTTGAGGTGCAGATGAATCAAAGCCTACTTAGTTTCGGTTACTTTTTACCTTTGGACTTGATTTGTCTTTCCCAACTAACTTGTGTGTCGGAGTATCCACTCGGGGCTCAAGCCCGGGATATGATCAGGTCAACGTAGCTCTTTTTCTTATTTCGAGAAGAGCCCTTTTTCATAAGGGGTTAAATCAACCTCTATCAAAACGTAAAAAATCAAAACGTAAAAAATCGAGTCGAGTTGAGAAGTTGTAAATTTGTCATGGGTGAAAACTTGACAGACCTAGAATTCAACGTCCCAAATTGACTTATATTACCACATATACGGCACCATATTGGTGGAGCTCGATTTAACCCCATAAAAAGGGCTCTTGCCGAACATGCTCTCACCGGAAAATTAAAAAGATATCCGTTCATTTGAAACCCTGTGAATCTTAAAAAGATCACCGTTCACTTGAAACCCTGGGAATCAAGCCTAGGTGGATACTCCAACGCTCAAGTTAGTCGAGAAAAGACAACTCAAGAAAGAGAAAAAACGAGAAAGAACATAAGTCTTTCGAAAGTATAATTCCTCAAGATTTGATTTATTTCCACGTAAGATTATGTTGTTCACCGGAGATGTGTCCGTTAATAAAATCCAAACAAAATCCAAACCCGTATATATTGTCAAGAGCAAGAGAAATAATTGATTCAATCTTATTAATTGATCTTTAATTTTATCATATAGGCTATATATATAACTTTAAAAACATATAGAGCAAATAACAATAAATAAATAATTTTTAGAACTTAATAATTACATAAAGATTGTTCAATTATACACTATATATAAAATATATCAACTATATTAGAATTAATTCAGATGAAGATGACTTAATCAAAATATATATAATTCAGATCAGCCTCAATATATAACATCAAAGATCATCATATATATTAATTTGATTATAAACTAAAATAATAAACATGTTTAGATATCAAATTAATATCGTATATAACGATGATTTACCACGCTAAACAAACCATGCATCAAGTATTCAAAAGAAAACAAGAATAAAAACTCACCTATAAGAAGTCTTGTAGTTTCGTCGTCGTATATCATATATATATTCCGTCTTCATCTTCTCCGTATTCCACATCGCGGCCATCTACTTTTGTATAATTTGTTATAAAAATTATTAAAGGATGGCCGCGAAGGGGAAGACGGAGGTGACGAAGAAGAAAAAGAAAAAACCCAAGCAATGGAAACCCTTAGCTTGTGAGGCTGATTTGTATGTATATAATTACTTATTTGTGGAGAAGAAGAATATATATAGAGGTTACATCTTTCGTGATTAACAAGTAACTGGTGACGTGGAAAGTTTTTATGTTGGTGAATTGGGTGTAGGAATTGCTAGCAAACACGTTTTTATATAAATATACGTTTAGAAAAATTGCAGATTCACTTTTTATCAATACGCAAAAGCCTTTAAAGAAAATCTCTATAGCCAAAAGAATAAATAAAAATTGGTGGAGCAGATAATTAATAAATAGGCAAATTATGGCCACTTCCTTAGGTATGACCAAATTACGAAAAAATCCCTCTTTGTTTGGGTAATTGCTGCCACCCCCTTAACTATGTATTATCTTATGAAAAATTCTCTCCATAGGTAATTAATTTAGGGATGTTAAATCAGTAAAATCGAACCGAAATATGAAGTAGGAGAATATGTAGGATCCAATATTTTATGAGTCCAGAATTCAGTTGATGCGTGGAGAGACTGTATTCGTGGAAACGCCCAAATTTATCGAGGTTCTGATGAATTTAAAGTCGTGCTAAAGAACTATGTTATTGACAATATGCGATAATTTTCGTATACGAAGAATGATAGACATAAGATAATAGTTGATTGCAATTATGAAAAAGGCCAAATGCACATAATTAATAACCGGACCCGAGATCGAATTTTATTTTTCAGGGGCAGATAAACTAAAATATGTAAATTTGTCACAAATCTCGATACTACCACATACGGCGCCATATTGATGGAGCTCAATTTAACCCCATAAAAAGGGATCTCACCGGAAAATCTAAAAGATCTCCATTCACCTGAAATCCTGGGAATCGAGCCTAGGTGGACACTCCAACGGTCGAGTTAGTCGGGAAAGACAACTCAAGAAAGAGAAAAAACGTGAAAGATTATGTTGTTCAGCGGATATGTGTCCGTTAATAAAATCAAAATCCGTCTATATTTTCCAGAGCAAGAGAAATAATTGATTCAATCTTATTAATTATATTCAAGAATCAGGATCTTTAATTTATCATCATATAGCTAATATATAACTTGAATGAAATTATGATAATCTTTAAAAACACATAGAGCAAATAACAATAAATAAATAATTTTTAGAACTTAATAATTACATAAAGACTGTTCAATTAATACAAAAAGATAAAATAATTACAACTTCTATTTTCTTAGAAAACAAACGCTCTCCAATATATAATAAATATACATATATAGATCGTAATTAATTAAGATGAAGGTGATTTAATTAAAATATAATTCAGATCAGCCTCAATAACATCATATATAGTAATTAGATTATAAACTAAAATAATAAACATGCTTAGATATCAAATTAATATCGTATATAACGATGATTTACCAGGCTAAACAAACCATGCATCAAGTATTCAAAAGAAAACAAGAATAAAAACTCACCTAGCTATAAGAAGTCTTGTAGTTTCGTCGTTGTATATCATATATATATTCCGTTTTCATCTTCTCCGTATTCCACATCTCGGCCATCTACTTTTGTATATTTTTTTATAAAAAATATTAAAGGATGGCCGCGAAGGGGAAGACGGAGGTGACGAAGAAGAACAAGAAAAAACCCAAGCAATGGAAACCCTTAGCTTGTGAGGCTGATTTGTATGTATATAATTAATTATTTGTGGAGAAGAAGAACATATATAGAGGTTAAGTCTTTCGTGAATAACAAGTAACTGGTGACGTGGAGGGTTTTTATGTTAGTGAATTGGGTATAGGAATTTCTAGCAAACACGTTTTTATATAAATATACGTTTACAAAAATTGCAGATTCACTTTTTATAAATACGCAAAAGCCTTTATAGAGCCCGCATGGGTGTAGCTCAACTGGTTCCGGAGGTGGTAAGTTGGTGCAAGGTCCTAGGATCGAATCCTGGCAGCCGCAGTGTGGGAATTTCAACTCCAATGAGTTGGTTCCGTGGGCACCAGGTCCGGGTCCGCTACCTTAACGGTTGGTTCCTTGTGGGCACTAGGTCCGGGTCCGCTACCTTAACGGGCCGTTGAATTACCATGATTTACATTCCTCCATCAATCCTTGTCGGGCCAAGGGATGGGGGCCCTGGGGGCGAGGGATTTCGCCTTTGGTGCAAAAGCCTTTATAGAAAATCTCTATAGCCAAAAGAATAAATAAAAATTGATGGAGCAGATAATTAATAAATAGGGCAAATTACGGCCACCTCCCTGAGGTATGACGAAATATAAAAAAAAATCCCCTCTTATGAAAAATTCTCTCTATAGGTAAATGAAGAAATATGAAGTAGGAGAATATGTAGGATTTGATGCATGGAGAGACAGTATTCGTGGAAACTGCCAAATTTATCGAGATTCTGATGAATTTAAAGTCGTGCTAAAGAACTATGTTATTGACAATATGCGATAATTTTCGTATACGAAGAATGATAGACATAAGATAATAGTTGATTGCAATTATGAAAAAGGCCAATGGTGATTTATACATCTTTGCATATGGCGGACAAATTATTTTGCATTTGGATCGGAACTGCAATCACATGTGGTGTGGGTAGAATCCGCACAAGCAGTTATCGGAAAGTTGATGCTAATTGGGTTTCGCATATTGAAAATGATAAATTAAGAGGACAACCACGGTACAAATCGATTCATATTGAAACTTTTTTTCTCAAAACACACTCTATTTAAGATTCACTTTCTTCTCGATCGTCGCTCTAGCCTTCTCAAAGCCATATATCCAATGGTGTTTCCAAATAACCACCATGCATATTGTTTGTGACATTTGCTTGACAATTTTAGAAAACAGGTACATATGTAGGCCATGAAATTATCCATCTATTAGCTAATATGACATTTAATTTAATTATGCGGTACTTAATTTAGGTACTGGCAAAGCACTACCAAATGCACAATAAATAATACTGGGTTGGGATTTTCAACAAATGTGCATACGCTTATACATATCAAGAGCATAGACAATATATTGATAGCATATTCCAGAATATCCGAAGATGAAGATCTACCGGTAGTAGAGATATTCATATATCTTTCAGTTTCTCCTCTTCGGGGACTGCATAGAAACTCTTCATATATTTGTCGTTGTGATTTCATCCAATTTTAGGTGAGTTTGATGCACTTTCACGAGGATCATGGTGTCGCTCCATCGGAAAATACGAGGAAATTTATTAATTTGAATTTTGGGTGGACTAATTATTAAAAATTGGGGCTTTTTTACATTAATTTGAATTTTGGGTGGGTTAATTAATAAAAATTGGGGCTGTTCTTGCATTTATTTAAATTTTGGGTGGGCTAATTAATAAAAGTTGGGTGGGCTAAATAGATATATAGGTATAATATAGGGTAAAAACTATAAATTGAGGGGGGCTTGAGACCACCCTTGCCCAAGGGTGGACTCGCCCCTACTATGCCGTGCCCCGAAAGAAGGGATCATCTCATGCAGCCATACCAACAACCAAATGTTGCATCTGTTAAAATACGACACCTCTTCATTCACTTACGCTCTCATTTCTTCCAGAATACACTCGTAGGCAGCCATGTCCATGCATACGATCCCAAGTTTTACAAATGATCCAGGTACTGAAATATAAACTTCGAACATGTCTTGCTAGGATTTGAGAATAAAAGAGTAAAAGACAATTACAAAAAAACAGTGTGTACAACCTACATAAGTCATCCACACAATCGTTACCTCCTGCATAATTCTCCAACTTTTTAGAAAATAAGTTACGTTCAGAGCCTGAGATGTTTCCACCGCATAGACAATCAATAGTGAATGAAAATTCATTCTTAAAATTTATGTCAACTGGTTACCCCTCATGGTGCAATCCAGAAATATAAAAATGAAATTCTAAATTTTGAATATCACGAAGAATTTTCATTTACCTTTTTTCTTTTTAGTTTTAGAATCGGAATCGATTTTTCATCTCCAAATTAAATACAAAGGAAATCGGAGACTGGATGCTTGTACATGCGTGCTGTTGACACCGAAATTTCGGAAAACAAATCACCAATTAATGGCCGAATAGATCGAATATTAATCGGGTCTCAAATCAAAGTCCACAACATATTTGGGCTTTACACATGTGTTAAATGGTTTAATCCAAAAATAAGTAATAAATTCTTATTTTTTGGATTAGCTAATGGGGCCCATACTTAGCCCAAATAAATCAAAAGACAAATATCCAAGTCCACCAGCCCATGGTACAAGTCGAAATCATAGCTCGTGTCTATAAAGGAAGGTCTTGGCTACACGCAAAAAAAAAAGACTCACACAGACACATATCGAGCTCTCAAGCTCACTTCTCGAGCCTCCGCCTCGAATTTTCTATTTTTCCTATCTCGTTTATATATTTTGCAGATTCAAAAAATTTGCGGTTAACACATGCTAAAGAGTACAAACACGTATGGTCTCGAAGTAATTTTCATAAAGGAGTGGTTCATATTTTTTCTAAATTAATTTAAAGGCCCTTATTAATCACTGAATTGCGAAATGGTCCCTCCTATTGATGTCTCATCAATAAGATTTCCTCGATTGCAAGGCAAAAAATAGTTGGTCTAATAAATGAGAGAATTCTAAATTGTAGCTAATTGAAACAAGGAATATGCATGAAACTCTTATTCATATGTTTATTTTTAATAAATTGTAAGCATGTGATTTAAGCAAACAAGAAAATTTAAGCAAATGCACGGAGTTAAATGATTCGAGATCGAATTTTATTTTTCAGGGGCAGATAGACTAAATTTTATTAACAATATTTTTCTATCACAGGAAAATCCAAGAAAAAAATTAAAAGAAAGTTTGACAAAACGTCATAAATACAAATACATGTCGAACAACAAATTGAAACATAGAAAGTTTGAAATACCAATTAATCAAATATAAATACATGTGGAATAACAAATTGAAACATAGAAAGTTTCTGATACCAATTAATCGTATATTTATTTGACCCATCGATATTAATATTTTTCATAATTTACAAAATATATCATAATATTATGTTATATATTATGAAAAAACATAGAAATATTTAGAACTAAAATTAGGTCGATTTTATATACCATTCCGATTCCGTTCCAAATAAATTCATAAAAATAAAAAATTAGAGCTTCGAAAATCAGAATGAAAAATACGGTTTCAAATTTGGTATTTTCGCATCAAAATTGGCGGAATTCAGAAATTTGATTCTGGTTTTCCACCCATAGTAACAATATATTACTAAAATTAAAATACTATTGAAAATAAACCCAAAAACAACTTTAATTAAAAGTTCTATATTTCTACACAACAATATAACAAAAAATTCTCATATCCCATCGATGCTACACCGGGTAAAATAAATCAAGTATTTTTTCACCATAAGTGAACAATATATAAAATAAGTAATTAACACAATACATGATGTAGCATCATCAATCCCTAATCTCACCAAACAAAAAAAAAAACCTATTGAATTATTTTTTTTTATAATTATTTCTACTTAATTATAGCACACACAGACAGAAAATAATTAGGTTATTATAATTTTAATGATGATCTAATTAAGTTGGTCGGGCCAAAGAAATGCTCCCATGGCAAACTTCCTCTTGTGAAGAATATCTCCTCCAACGGGCAGCCCGTATTCTTTCAGCAGACCGTCGATTCGCCACTCGGGCATCTTCTCGTAGTCCGATTTGTTGTACCTCGGGTAGTGCAGTGGCATTTGAAAACAACCATTCAAATCCGCCTTCGTCGTCATCTGGTGGTGGCCGTTTGTCTTCAGACCTCCGTCGACGGCGGCGCGTATGGAAGAGTTATTAGGGCAAGCTGCTACGTTGCCCATACTCTCTCTCTCTCTCTCTCTCTCTCTCTCTCTCTCTTTGTATTTGCTTCGGTTTAATTTGAATGAAGCCCTATATAGTTGCCCTTTTTATAGGCCACCTTCTTTAATTTGTTTAGAGAATGTTTTACAGCTGGAGATTTCTTGAATAACGTGTTTTTTTTTTTAATTTATTTATTTATGTATTTATATTGAATTAATCTGATTATATATATATATTTATACTATATAAAAACAAACTGAATATTCTACAAGCTTCCTTGTGTGACTGATTGATTGACATGTATATACATATTTTCTTGGGAAATTATTGCATGGTTAATTGGTTTCTTGCATATCAAGTTGGCCGAGATACGTGGAATATTTTCTTCCTTGTGTTTTCACAACTTGAATTGTTGTACCATAAATTCTAGTGGCGTCCTACTGACTAGCTATGATGCACGGAAACTTCTGTATACACGGGTTTTTACGTTTCGGAAATTATTTTAGAAATTGAAATGCTATGACACTAGTCGGAAGTGTTTCAGGGTTGTTTTCATAAATATTTTAAAGTTTCGGGGACGTTTCTGGTAATAAAAGAATTATCGCGCTTGAATTAGCATATATATATACCTAATAGGCTAATACTAATTAATCACATAATTATATTAATAACAAGGAGATTTTTTTTTTCTTTTTTGAATTAGATGGAATATCACAAGGGTTTCATTTCGAGAATGATCGTAAGTTCATCTTAAGAGAGCGACTTGTTCTGCACCTCAAATTTACGATCAATCATCACGATATATACAACACAGTCGTTCCAACATCTTGCCTTGAACTTGTATCTATTACATAGAGTTTCATCTTATTCTTTATATTTTTCAAAATCAAAAATACACCTTACAAGATATATATCTATAATTTTTAAAGTATAAAATGATTTATTGAAATAAATGAAGTCTTTTGAGAAATAAGACAAGAGGAGTGGCTTAAAAAAAGGATGCATTTAATTATTTTTTTTTCCTAATGAAAAGGAAAGGATGTAGAAGACATTGATGTGCCAGACTTTTGTTCTTCCCATTAATTCTAATAATAAATGCACGTTCACTGTATCCATTTATGGTCTATCAGATGCTACATCCGATGAAAAATATCGGGTGATTTTGCATCGATTTAAACCATAATTATCCACTAAGATCAATAATGCAGAATCACACCGTGTATTTTATCAGGTGTAGTATTTACAAAACCTCCATTTAGTTACTTGATGAGTTGATAATTTGAATTCATTTTCTCATTTTCCTTTTTTTCTTTTTCCGAAATTCTGTTACAAATGGCAAAATATGGAAACTGATAATTTGAACCTGAATTTTTAACTCTAGTAGCCAAGAAGACTATGTAGGGGTGGAATATTTGGTATGGTTGTCTTCTCAACCTCCTTGTGTTGTTATCACTTATAATTATCGAGCTTTTAGTACGACAAAATTCACTGCGATTGTGCTACCAAACAAATTACCAAAAGAAATCGATAGGTACAGTAGGGTAATGGTTATTACTAATTTATGTTGGACTACTACATAGCATAAATATACATCGAGATGTGATGAATGTCGTTTTAATTTTAACAATACTGTTTCGACTTCAAAAGTGAGTTTGACCACTCTTTAGGTTGGATTTAGCAAAACTCAAAATACGAAATTTGTATTTCTTTGATTTAGCTTTCTAGTCCAACTTGAATCACTAAGATTGGATGTTGGATGAGAAAGATATGAACGAATCAATGAACACTGCTCACAACTCGATGTTTTGAGTTATCTAAAATTCAAATGCGTAACTTTGTCATACGACATTCAATCTATCGAATTCAATTTGGACTACAGTCTCTATTGTTCGAATTTTGCCAAAGTTAGACTACAAATAGATGAATATCACGATCGAAGACAAAACAATATTCGTAAAACTGAATCGACGTCTAGCGTTTCAGATATGAGTATCATTGCGTGTGATGATTTGTGGGTCTAATCGTCTAAGGACTTTTCAAAATTTCCACCATAAATGTCCGGTTCAGACAAGCAACAAACTAAGTTTCAAAAAAGGAAACAAAAAAAAAAAAAAGAAAAAGAACAATTGCTATAAGGTTTTCTTCCACTTGTATACATGGAACAAGAATTTTAAGAGAGCAAATACAAACAGCTAATCCACAAATCTGGGTATATGTTAACCTTGCACATAAGTTATACACATTGGATACACAAAGAATGCTGCTAAAATAAATTGCCACCTCAATCACACAAAAACATTATTGCATGAACAATAAAATTCAATTGCAGCACTCGCATAAACTGGTGGTGGCCGGGCTAACAGAAGGAAGCTATTTACCAACTTTTGTAGAAACCGATAAATCACATAAAGCTCCTGCATCTGCACCTGCATCTTCTCGTTCGTCTTTCAGCAGTAAACTCAGAAGAACGTACTTTTTTTCCACAACCCAGCAAAAAAATACTAATCGTGTTACTCCTGTACATATGAGAGAAGAGTGTTTCTAAACGAGCTGGAGTAGTTTGATACACCCCGATGAATTGGCAGCGACCACCATATTCGATTTACGTCTGAAGCAAACACTTGAAACAAATTGTCCGTTGTCATCTTCAGTATCTTTTCCAGTTACAGGATCGATCGAGCCGAATTTGTGGGCAGTAATTGGCATGGGCAGAGATTTGTGATAGGCGTACACCTGCCAAATATATGTAAAAATTGCAAAACTTGAGACTACTTCATCGTACGACATTTTTTCTCGCTCCGTTTCTTTTTAAATGATTATAAAAGTATCCAGAATAAAATTTTCATGCCAGCAAAGATGAAAGATGTGCGAGTTAAAAGCGAAGATCACCTCGTTTGTCTCTGAACCACAAGTTATATATCCATCAGAAACTGATAGGCCGACAAAGTTCTGCAAGAGCAGGAGCACAGAGTTAGGCAAGAAAGTCACTGAATATGTAATAAATAAAGATAACTGCCACCTGTCACCAACTAACCTTCTCATTGGTATGCCCTCTAAGGGTCAAGACACAAGCATCTCTTGACAGACAATTGGAATCCGTCTTACTTAGATCCCAAATCTTGACCGTGTTGTCTGTAGATGCAGAAACGAGGGTTCCTGCATCCAAGAACTTAGCATAGCTAACAGCTTTGTCATGACCAGCCAATATGCACCAGGGTGTTGAAACGTTGCGAAGATCGTAGCAATACGTCTTGTAATCGGCAGAGGTACAAGCCAACAGATGAGCCGAGTGAGCTGAGAACTGTACGCTGCAGATATTTGCATTGTTCTTAATCGTGCATAAACTATTTTTCTGCACAGAATGGTAAATAAAAACATCAGCTGTATGTACCATGCAATAGTTACACAATACAAAAACGGCACCAATTCAAAGAGTAACTAGAAAAAGAATCATCAAGTTATAATCATATCAATTATTTCTCATCATGATTTGATTCTTGCCTAACCAGGTTCATGCATACTGATGCCCCCCTTAAATCCTAGTCAGACTGATTACAGTTTGCATTTCATCTACCACTTTTCACTCATCCAGAACAGAAGAAAAAGAACTTGAATCCAGGAAATAGGGGAACAACAAAAGAAAAACTTTTAATAAGTCTAGAAGCATAAACTAGATAATTTGACCAGAAACGGCATATTACATCATTGATGCTCCAAATTTTCACCAAACGATCGTCACTGCCACTGGCTAGTTTCGTAGGATCAACACGCGAGAAATCAACAGACCAAGCCCTTTGAGTGTGCTCAATGAACTGAGAAAACCCTTGACCAGTTGATGCATCCCATAACTGCAATCATTTAAGGTATATATATATATGTCAGCAACTCAGAGAGTACTATAACAAATGAAAATTATCTATCGCAATAGATTCAGTTAACCAATATTAGAAAGATGAGTAAAAGATACAGACCTTGACTATGCCATCATAATCGGTCGAAGCGAGGTAATTTCTGATATAGCTATTCCAGCAAATGCAACTTATCTTTGATTCATTCGCCATTTCAACAACTGGGTAATGAATGTCGACAGAGTCGTTGAAAAGAGATTGGAACTCAAAAATCTTTATCTTCTTTGACACACCTCCTGCAGCTAGATAGTCTTCGTCACGGTCAAAACTGAGAGAGCATATCACGTTCGCCGAGTTGTTAAATTCTCCACTCCGCATTATTCCTTGTACTTTAAACTTGCTGTAGCGAGCGTATTTGCACAATCCATCAAAAAATCCCCCTAAACGATCTGCCGTACTGTACTTGTCTTCCTTTTCCATCGTGCCCCAGTTTTCACGACTTTTCAACAGTTCTCCATCCCTATGAGTGGCTAATTTTTTTTCTGACAGCTGAATGTTGGATCTCATGGAAAAGTAAGCATTTTCAAGTTGCTTGATATTACTGTTCAACCTTGTTTCTCTATCACTTAAAGGGGACATCTTTAAGAATGAATCTGCACTTGTATTTCCACCTTGGATATAGCTGCTCCCACGTGCAGTAAGAGAACCCTGAGCCGAGGAAGATAGAAGCAGTGATTTCTTAGGTCGCCGTTTCTCAATCTCTTGAATATCAGCTTCTATGCACTGGATTTGCTTCATTAGATCGGAAGCATCCTTTTGTTTTTGCTCATTTAGCGACAAAAGAAAGTACGACAACAGTTCTGACTCCCCATCTTCTTCATCATTAGACAAATTTACTTCACCTCCAGGTAATTCTTGAATTCCACTTATGAATTCAGATTGCAAAATGTCTCTGTTATTCAACAGTAATCATCAAAGTCATTAATTGCTACAACTCAAGTCTTAGAAATCAAGTTATATATATATATAAAAATCTTATGTACAAATATCTTTATCCACCTCAGTTATGACAGTCATTACTACATATGCGCAAGTCAACCTTATTTTCCCATAGCTAGTATTCACGGAATAAACGTTATCTAGGTTTACATTTGGTTCAGCTCATTTCTCATTAAATCTAATAACTTAACTAATAAATTAATTCAGTAATAAATTATTTGATGAAGTGACAAGGTAATACACTGCCGGAAAACAATTTCGGCACGTGATTATCAAAAACAATTTAAATATATTAGGAGAAAACACAAATTTGACTTTTCATTCTAATAGAAACAAATGAAACGTACAATGTTTTCGTATAATGTTTACTTTTTTATGTTTTCAAATTGTTCACACCCCAAAAATTGGCAGTACCGATTTTCATAGATATTTATTAACTAAAATTGGTTACTTTATATTTCCTTACACATTCTTTTCAGAACCAAAAACCAAAGCTCAATAGTACCAATATTCAAGTTCAGAAGTAGAGGAATATTCTGTTTCTACCTTTACTATTAAACTTTTCTATTGCTAGCAACACATACTTTTTACTAGTTCATTAGAACTCTTTTTAAAGGCATGCACTAGGTGTATGGCGCACATTGTCAACTGTGTTGTTCTGTTCTGTTAACTTCATAACCATGTTAACAGTTCCAAACCTCTAGACTATACCAGTTACTATCAGTTAACCAGACTAAAAGAAAATGGGGATTAGTATGACAAAACTTTCTATACAAAAATTTAAAAACCATGAAAATACCTGGTTGTTGGGCGTGATGAAGGTTCGGGATGAAGTAACCAAAGGCAAAACCCAGCTTCCTTGGGATTCTCTGAAAGAAAACTAGGTGGAAGAATCCTATGGCGTAAATCAAGCATTGCAGCAGCATGAGATCTTCCAGAATCAAATGACCCAAGTAACTGAAAATACCAAATGCACAAACTGTCAGTTTAAGTATCTTACTGCGAGAAAAGCTAAAAACAAGGTGAAATTGTAGAAACTAGAATGAGATTTGTGCTATTCACCAAAATAAACTTCTAAAAGTATGAGAAATACATATATCCACTTAATATTTGTTTAGTATTTGGCAAATCGGACTTACTCAATGGGGTATTGTAAAACAAATACAATCCTCAAGGGGATATTTGTTGTCATTTAGAGACATAGAGTGGTTTATTTCAGTAGGCCAAGTCACAAGGATTATGTAAATTACCCAAGGACGGAATGGATTTACTTGAGTAATTTAACGCTATTCTTTGCATACATAAAAGCATAAAAATGTAATCGTTAACAACTTAAAAGGTAGGACAGCAGTTCAAAGTCTTAATGAAGAACCAACCTGCAACTAGTACAACTCTCCTAGACTTTATTCTACATCCCAGTAACTACTCAATACAGACCAATCAAGATCTATCTCGTAATGAAACAAATACATTGTAATTTTCAACTACAGAAACAATTTCGTTAAAGAAAGGGAAAAGTAAGGCTCTAAGTCCTTCAAATCTTAATTTGCAATATGTTTTAGAAGTAGAAAAGGAAAGGGTCAAGCAATTACAACTTAAAATGAAGGAAAAAGGATATATTACTGGTTTGTGGAATCCCAGATGAAATAAAAACATCAAGAAGTTGTCTGAATAAAAATGTCAATTGTTTGCCAAGTCGTTAAGTTCTTCTAGACGGTAACTCACTTATATGTAGACTGGATGATCAGAAGATAATGTCACTAAACTGAGAAATTCTCATCTTAAAAGCAATCAATTCCATGCAAGTATATAATGATTACACATTTTGGCTTATCACATCCAACATTTGCTTTCACTAAGCATTAATTCATTGAGACTTCAGGACTGAAGGGAAAATCACTTGGATAAAAATTAATGACAAACCTCAAACAGAAGAACCCCCAACGAGTAGATATTTGATGCAGAAGTGCAGCCCTTCTCGTTGAACAGCTCAGGGCTGGAATACCACTTCTCTTCCAACATAACACTCACAGAGCCCTGCAATGTCTGTGACGAATTATGCACACTATGGCCAGGCAATCTGCTGTGGTTCTTGATATCTGGCTTAGGATTGTGCCTTTCATCTAAATCATTGCTAGGATCCAGAGATTCAGCAGTATCTAAGTTGGAAACGTTTGGGAATGCTGATCTAATGCCAGACCTTGATGGAAATTGGGGCCACCTTTGCATAAACTTCATATTTTCACCTAATTTCTGCTTCTTCAAAGAGTGGTTTTCCAAGGGAAGCATGCTTTGTTGCATTGGTCTCTTCTCAATTCTTTTATGATTTGATACGCGGACATTTTGATCTTTAACATTTTCCGTGACTGATGCACGAGATCCTAGATACATGACCTGGTAAGATCCCGACAACTTGAAGCAAGAGGGCCTCAAGTCTTGAAGGCAAACTCCATGAGAATGTGAGAAATCCACAAGATCGAGCACCTGCTTAAATATATGCATTTTCTGGACTTTATTTACCTTCTTTCCGCCACCTTCCAGCCACTCTCTTAAACTTATTCCATCACTAATACTTCTAGAACTATAAGCAACGCATGGTTCAGAAACAGGCTTTGAAGTCAAACCTAATGAGGCAACAGAATTTCGCGAACCACCAAAACCAGACTTAGGATGATGGTCCTGGTTCCCAGACTCGGAGCCAGATCCTCTGCCAGCTTGGCGTTTATGTAATACTCCTTTGTCTTTCAATGTACTCTTAACGAAGTATTCCGAAAACCCAGATTTTGATAGAACTTTTGTCCGGATGCCTCCAGAAGGATACAAAATATCACCCGAAGAACCTTTATCGTCATTGCTCAATAAATTTTCTGACGGAGCATTATGAATATGGTTTTGCGTCGGCGGATTTTCCTCTACTAACCCACGAAAGAAATTGTTGTCCCTGTCCTCCCATGCACTTGAGTTTGCCTGACCTTTTCCTTTGTACCCAGTTTGTCCATGAAGATTGTTAGCACCTGATCCACCAGCTATCTGATACAAGTTCTGCCACTGGTTTCGCCTAGTTTGCATCCGCTCGATGTTGTTAGAAGCACCCATTATACTCGACTTATCCCCATCGTAATTTCTCAGTGTCAATTCCTCAACCATGATTCCAGCATCATCCATACAGTGAGGACTGGCACTTGCATGTTCAGAAGAACCAATTCTATCCAGATCTTTCACATCCAAAACATCTGAAAATCGATTTCTCGACTTGTCAGGATAATCGACCGTTCCAGGTGTAACCATTTCATTTGATTGAAGCATGTCGGGGATCCCAGATTTAAATAAGAACTCGTTATCCTTTTTTAGAATATGTGTGCCGTTAACAGGTTCAGCCACCTCGTCGCCTATTGCTTCGTCCATACTATGTTAGATATTCTCATTTATTGAATAAGTTACTTCTCGCTGTAAATAAAGCTTGCATTGTTAGGATACAAATAAATAGAATAGACTTAATTTAGGCAAATGAAAATAATGATGATAAATTCAAGAAAATAGACAATATTATTGACAACGCTAGTACTTACAACTGTTAGAAAGCTAGAAAAACTGATGATAAAGGAATTAGTTTAGTCGACTGCTAAAAACAGCATACAACCCGACCCAAAGGGAATTAAACCCTTGACCTAATACAACCCACCCCACCCCAATACCACTCAGGCAAAGCCCTCTCAGTTTAGTGTAGTCAACTTTTTATTATGATTATGTGTAATTGCATAGTTTAATTTTCTGATTTGTAACTTCAGATTATAGGGATTAACAACTTCGATAAGTCAACCTACAAATTTGGTTCCGGGCTTATTTCGATCGAACTTCTCATTTGTTTCCTAAAATGAAGTGAGAAGGAGCTATTCCTACAATCTCTTTGTTCATCACATCAAAGCCCAAATCCTCGTCAGAACCAATTCTAACAATAAATCCCCATAATCCAGTGCCTAGGTACAATACTCAACACCAAAACTCAACTCATTCACTCTCTCCGACAATAAGTACTTTCCAGATAACCCATTGTAAGCTCAACGGAATTTAGTCCAGAGATTGGTTCCAGTTCATCTTCCTCGTTCAAATATATAGAAGGGTTTGCACATGCAGAATGAGCCAGGTCAGTGGAATCTTGTTACACAAAGGAGCAAGAAACATCGGTCAATTGCACAAGCAGAAAACGCCACTCGTACGGCTATGGTTATACTTATTTTCTCACTCTAATTTGAATAAATTAACAACCGATAAGCATGTAACGAGAACAGTTCATTCTTTAAACAACAAATGCATGTTCAAAAATCAAACTAGCACTAGAAACCACAAAAATAAACAGGAAACAGCAGTTTTACTGCAAACTGAGTTTACCTGTAGATTGATTGAAGCATGTTAGGTAGCAAATTAATCAGATTCCAGAATATGACCAAAATAATGGAAAATAATAAAAAATAAAAATAAAAAATGATAGCAAAAATCAGAAATCCCAGACTCAGAGTTCATTCCCGATTACCAATTGAAAACGATACACATCGTAACAAGATAGCCCCACTAACTCTACTGTGCATATTCCGATTCAGAGAAACAAAAAAAGGGCAAAATAAAATCAGCAAAAATTCAGCAATTAATTCATATACCAAAGCAAAAAATCTGACAATCAGAGCAAATAAAACAAATAATAAACGAAAATTGAAGGTAAGGTTTCAGAAATTCGGTAGAGGCGTACCTAAATGGTGTGAAGAAGGATGGTGTAGAGAGAGAAAGAGAAGAGTGAATTAAGAGAGAGGAAGGGGAAAAGGGGGGAAATTGTGAGCCATGGAAATAAAATTAAATTAAAAATAAAAAAAAGTCTGACAAATGATAAAAAGATTTTAGGGGTGGGGTTTGTTGCTTTTTGTGATGGGAGAGACTCTAACAAATCTATGCTACTTTCTTCATAAATATCTATTATTATTACATTTATACTTTTAAAAATTAATACGATCGAGATTAACAAAATTTTATTAATTTAGCGAAGTATTAGATTAACGAACTAATAATTTAGTAGGTTTTTGTTGAGTCGGGACGAGAAGAGTTTATTATTTAAGCAAGGTTATTAAGTTATCGAGGTTCTATTGTATTATATATTTGCACTTTCGCTGGAAATTGGAACGTTCGAATTCGATCGAGTTTTGTTTGTAATTTTCCAACTTTTAAATTAATATTTTACTTCCGGATCCGGTGATTTTTGATTTCAAAATTTTCCAAAATTTTATCGGAATTGAAAATTCTAATTTTTAATATATAAAAAAAGAAGTACATTTATAATGTGAGTTTTATTATGATTTTCACATTGTAGGTGAATAGAATTGAAATTTAGGGTTTCTTTCAACTCCAATCGAAAATTTGGATTTGGAAAAAAAATATTTTCGTTCCAATTTCTGAAATTGTTATTTCATATTGTTTTCTTTTTTTTGTTTTGAACGAAATTGATTTTTTTTTTTTTAATTTCAGAGAAAGAAATATAATTTTGATGAATGTGACATACACAAACACTAATCTGGATAATTAGGAATTTAGGATTTCTTAATCTCAGATTAAGGTTGTCCCAGTTATTACTTACAGCCACCAATTAATAATTTATTTACTATTTGAGTTTTCCCAAGTTGCTTTTAAATTTCCTTTGATTCATTGCACTTGTTATTTCTCTACGAGTCATTTGATTTATTATTAAATTATTATTATTATTAAATAATATTAGATTGTTTGTCCTTTTCTCCAGATTATATTATTTTGATAATATTTATTAAAAAAGAAAAAGAAAAAAGAAGAGATTATTTGTTGTGAATGTATGGCAGGAATGGATTGTGGTGGCAGTAAATTATCCACGTCGACAAACGTATAGTAAAATAATCCCATGTCAGCTCACGTGCCCACTTGTGGGGCCAACTCTACCACTCGCCCAACCATTGGTTGGTTTTGTTGCCACGTCACTCTTGGTGGAACACTAGTAAACAACTGGGCAATAAGCCAATAATAGCCTTCATCCCGACTGGCGGCTTTCAAATTTCAAATTAATTTGCTTCTTATTTATTTATCTGCTTAATTCCACTTTACACCCTTAAAATATTGCAATTTGGACCTTTACACCCATAAAAATTTATTTGGCATCCTCAAAACGCAATAAATTATTCACAATGCACCTTGAATTTGAATATTTAAAACTTAATAAAAAAAAAATTCTATTTTGCTCGGGCACAACATAAGAAATTAAATTGTTATTTTTTTATACCTCCGACCTAATTTCGAGCGGTCACGTGGGTGTGTATGATTATGTGCAGATCAACCATTAATAATTACCCGATATTTTTCTTATAAAATTCAATAATACCGACCCACCACCACTTATACTTTCGATGTTGGCTGCCTCTCTCGTCATCAATCACCGCTCCGGCGAGAATATTCTGTTCGAATCACCTATTTTTTTTACATCAATTTAGTCTGGTATTATTTATTACCTGAGTACAGAAATCAAAATAACATATGCAATTTTCATATATTTCCAAGTTGGCAGTTGCAAAAGAGTCAAAATATATTCATCTATATTCAGCTACACATCACTAAATGCCATATTCTTGCTAATCAAGAAATACGAGTGTCATATAAAAGACGAACAAAAAAAAAAAAATTACGTTGAAAAGTCGAACTATGTTCGGGTGAAAAAAGGGTCCTTTGCAGAGCAATATATCTCAAATAGCTTCTCACTGTAAGTTACAGAAAGCCTTCGACACTGGCTTATCACCTCTGCCCGCTCGTTTTTCACTTCGGAAACTGATTTTCTTAGCCTCATCTCATTATCACCATCAATTAGATACTCCGCCAAACCTCGTGCGCTGAATAATATTTCGAATATATACATACAGTTAGCTCTAAAAAAAACCCGAATAAAAAGGTGTAGGAGAAAACAGAAGGGCACATATGAAGCAAAATAGCAATTTTTTAAGCAACATAATCATAATAATGCATGATAATGTATTGCATACCTACGGATGGAACACAGAACGAACGAATCGGAATTCGAACTATTGAAAATAATCAAATAAGAGAGTATTTTCTATTCCCAACTTTTTAAAATCTAAAAATAAATTCAAACGGAATTTCTTGATTCTACGTTTATAATTTTGTGGAAATGTTTGGAATTATGTACAAGTACAAGCTTTCTACTATTTGTATGCTAAGTGTGCGTGTGTGTGTGTGTGTGTGTGTGTGTTAAATGTAGTTTCCCCAAAAATAAAAACAAACAGAATTTGTTGAAATTATTTTTCAGAAATCAAAATCAGAATGGAAATCGGAGTTTTCAAAAAGGTTATATATAATTCGAATCCCGATCCATAATTTTTTGGAAAGAAATCGGAAATGCAATCCGAAATTTTGAGAATAATCAAATAAAAGTTGAAGTGAGAAACCATTTCTCATTCCGAGCTTTTTAGAATCCAAAAATCCATTCCGACTCTGAAAACTTGAGAAATTAAAACGGAATTCCTGGAAATCATGCTACGTTTATGATGCGTGGAATTGTATACAAGTCACGATCATGTACAACCTTCTTACTACTTAGATATGCAATGATACCAGTATTATACATGTATATTTTCAAACACACACACAAAAAAAAAAAAAAAAAAAAAAAAAAAAACCGAAATTTTGAAGCTATTTTTCGGAATTTTTTTTTTTGAAAAAATCGGAAACGAAATTTCGGAACCATAATTGAAAACATTACTCCAAAGTCAAAAACCACATACCTAATTAAATCATCGGGTTTGACAGTATTGGACAGCTTCGAACGTTTGGTGGTCGGTTGGCTCGAAAAGAATTGCTGCCTATAAAGAGCACAAACACCATTCATGCAAAGCTCCTCATCTTCTTGTAAGGCGTTAATCATTTCAGCTTCAAGCATAAATTTCCGACCGACTTTTTCACTCTGACGAGTTGCAACAACTTTTTCGCTTTGAAGAGTTGCATCAAGATTTTCACTCTGAATTGTCGCAACAAGTTTTTCAATGCACGAATCCGAGTCCGATTCATCTTCTGAATCGGTAGAAGAAGACTCATCATCGACCAACCGACAAATCTTACACGGAGAAATTTCAGAATCACGTGCTCCAATTTTATCAAGAGTTGATTCGCGGATTCCACTACGTACGTTTCGTTTCCTCTTTGTGCCCGTATTTACCGGAGAATCCTCTTTGTTATCTGTTCTGTTTAGTTTTTTTGACCGGCTAGTTTGAACAGATTTCTCGAAAATTACCTCGTTTTCAGCTGCATTTTCACCTATAAGTACTGTATCTGAAGTATGGGCTGCTCCAGTGGGGCCCGTTTCACCGTCACTATCGGATAGCTCAATGATATCCAATTTACTCAAATGCCCTGCATGTAAAGCTGCAGCATATGTACATATATAACTTGTGAGAATCGATGGATGTTAAGGTTTAAAAATGGAAGACATTTTATTACGGGCAAAAAATAAGTAAGGATAAAAAGATTTAAAGTTGAGAGACAAAAATGGAGTCCGACGATCATTTTATCTGTTCAGGATAAACAATTTTATTTGTTCACAAATAAAAATGAACTTTTTTAATGAAAGGTCGGTAATATTCAAATTTTCAACCAAAGCCGATAACTGTTAAGTGAGTTAACCACTTGGAGGTGAATTTGCACTCGAGACTTACGATTATGAAATCGACTATTGCGGAAATTAATAAACAGAGCAAATCAATACCAATTCTTGACAAAGATATACGTTCTAACCATGATCAACGAAATAAAAATAATAACGGAGTAAACCAAAAGAAGATTTTTGCCACAAAGATACTTATGGAACTAACATATCTCCTGTCGTATTATATATTTTGAATTTTTATTATTTGAGTCAAAATCTAATCCAACTCATCAAAATTCACCTAGAACAATTGAATTTAGGTAACATTTTACTGTTTAAATGCTAGCATACCCTCTTAAAACTACAAGCCGACTAATACGTCACACGTTATTCATATGATTTATACAAAGCACCATTCACTATGCACATCTCGAATTATAAAACAGTAACGGCTAGTAGAAGTCGTTAGAACTCAAATTAGTAAGCTGAATAAAACAGCATATACTGTAAGATACCTGAACCATGTGGGCCCCCATTAGCTTCATTTTCGAGATCGATAACATTTTTCTGTTCTTGCGGAGAACTGAAACCAGAGTGAGAAACGGGGGATTTCTGAACCTCATTTGAGCAATCATCTTTTTTCGGATAACCGACCGATTTTCTGCCACCTGTAAAACCATGCATATGTGTCATTATTCTTTATTAAATATCACATGTATCTATAGTTAGTTACCATTTTTATATCAAGTAAACTATCAATAAATTAGCGAGGTTAACACATTAGTACCATTTTTATCATCACGAAAATCGAAATTTTCCTCCTCCTTTATAGCGGCAGATTTCTCGACATCCTCCACAAAATTCTTGAGATCTTCAACCTTCACATTGAAAATACTCGAAAGTGCTTCCTCGATTTTCATAATCCTCGGCTCCAACTCATCGAGCTTGCTCTTGTACACTTGACACTCCTCATCGGATTCCAGTTTCTTTTTCATCAACTCATCCATTTCCCGTTTCGCCTCCACATTTTGCCGCCTCAACTCCGCCGCAGCCTCTTTAGCATTCAATTTCTCCTTCCTCAAACCCTCGATCTCCTCTCCCATTTTCAACAGTGCTTCGTCTATCTTAGAATTACACGCAGAGACCTCGTTGTACATATTCTCCACCTTTATTTGCCGGTCGCTCGAGACCCCTTTTTTCTCCTTCAGTTTCTTGATTGTCCGTTTCAATTCCTCGCACTCCTTAAGGCTCCTCTCCAATTTCTCCTCAGTTTTCAAATTTTTGAGGTACGTCAAACTATGAGTTTTCTCCAATAAACGGAGCTCTTCTTTGATCAAATCGCGATCCTTCACGAGGTTTTCCATCTCGACTTTCGTCTTTTTCTCGCGGTCCATCAATACATTACGGACCTCATCGTAATCGCACTCGCGAAAAGAGTGCCTAATGGAATTGATTAGCTCCGGAATGGGCAAACTTTCGGTAATTGCGGAAACGGATCTTCGTAAACCTGATGAACTCATTTTTGTTTTCGTTTTCCCAAACAATTTTCAGCACCGCCCCTGAGAAATTCTTCTTCGAAGAGGTTTTTGCTAACTCATTTGATTATTATCCTACATGCAACAAAAAATAGGGTTTTTTGAAGGCCGAAACTCGAAAAAAAAACTAAACATAACCCCTTTTCACTATTTTCTTCGACAGAATTGAAAATAAAATAATTAAAATAAAGCTTCGCGAAGCTTACCGTCACCTTCTGAGACGAAATTCTGGAATAGAATCACAGAAATTCTGGAAGTAGGGTTGCTTTTCGTTTTTTCCTTCCGATTACGATTACCGTTTAAGGAAAAATTTAGCTTCTTTACGATGCCGTTTTACAGACGAAAGAATTTATAACAAAAAAAAAAAAATTGAAAGTGAAACAAGGAAAACAACGGGGGCTCTGCGCCCGGCTGTAAAATGATCAGTTTTTTTTTTTTTTTTTTGAGGCGGCGGTGCAAATGGGTTGATTTTTACTTGTTAGGCCACCGTCTGCAAAATTGAGTTTGTTTTTGAAGTGTTTGTAGAAATGTTTGAGAGAGAGAGAGAGAGTGACGAAAGAGGAAGGAATTGCAGGCTGCGAAAAAAGTAGTGCCAAAGAGTGTGTCGTTTGGGTTGGTATGTTAATGGTACTCCCTCCTCCGGTTCGAGTCCAGTTCATTTATTTATATTTATTTAATAAACAAGAATCCAATTCAAATTTCAGTATTAAATTTTAGGGTAAATTACAACCACACCCCACAGTATGGTCAAATTCTGAGAAAAAACCCTTCATGTTTGGATAATTACATATACCCCTCAAGTAAGAATCTTCTTACATCTCCACTCATATGATGTTAAATTCAACATAATTATCTAGATTCCGTGAATGCTCTCTAATTTGTGCAAAAATGCAGTTTCTGATGCACCGCAATCTGCTATATACATGCCAAAAAACATATCTTATGATCATCTTGCTTCAAAATATGGAGCTCGAATGGGATAAAACGGGTACAAAATTGTTCATATAATCTAGAAGATTCCACTAAATTTGACACCGCAAGGGTGGGCGTATAAGAAGATTTATAGTTGAGGGGTGGTTGTAATTACCCAAACAGAAGGGGGATTTTCGTAATTTGACCATACATCGAGGAGGTGGTTATAATTTACCCTAAATTTTATGGCAAATTACTGCTGCCCCTTAGGTAATGTCAAAATACGAAGAAAAAAACCCCTCATATTTGGGTAGTTAACCATACTCTAAAATATGAATTTACGAGGCAACTTTTGCGGTTTTGAATTTAGTGGAATATTCTTCATTTCACCGTTTTACCCCATTCGAGCTTCACATTTTGAAACAAAACGATCATCCATAAGATGTGTCTCTTGACTTGTAAATATCAGATTTAGTGCATCATAAACTGCATTTTTGCACAAAACGAGTACAAACTACAAATTATTCCACGGAATGTAAAAGATTTTGTTGAATTTGACCCATAAGAGTGGACGTGTAAGAAGATTTATAGTTGAGGTGGGTGGTTGTAATTACAAGATGAGTGTTTTGTAATTTGACCTTACCTCATAGGGTGGCTGTAATTTACCCTAAATTTTATTATTTAAAGGTTAGTACGAGTGAATTTTATTGATTAATATCAAATTAGATTGGATTGGATTAATTCTCTATTAGTTAATTAATTAATAATATGTCGTTCTTTAGATTACATGTCGCATTAAATTTTGTTAGATATTGTTATTATATGTGAATTGTCTATAGAGTTTTTTTTAAAACTAAGTTATTGTTTTAATGATAAAATCGTAATTTTCTTTTTTAGTCACCCCTATAAAATTAATGCAGGGAAAAGGGGTGCTACTAATTTCACGACATAATAATACTTAATTGCGGAATTCCACTTTAGTAGCTTATCAATGTTGAATCATCTTATTAACTCGTACTATTTACTCAATCTAACCTAAGACTAACAAGCAAACGAGGCCTAAAGTTAATAAGATATGTTATAAAATTCAGTTCAAATAGACAAGTATGAGTAAATTAAAATTCAGTTCAAATAGACAAGTATGAGTAAATTAAAATTCAGTTCCCACAATCTTTGCTTAATTGGCTATTTTAGATAGTAGGATTGGTCATGTTCCTTTAAATTTGTTTCCTTTAATCTGTTTTTGCGACGGAGGCCTCCCTCTTGCCGACTCTTGTAATTTTTCGTTCTTCTAATTTAATGCATGTTTTAATTATCAAAAAAAAAAAAAAAATCACATCTAATATTAAATTCTAACATATTTAGTACCAGGTTCGAGCAATAACAAGATTAATTCAATTAAATAAAAAAAATAAAAATCAATTCATTCGAAATTTATGATTATATAAATAGATTATTTCAATTCACAATCATTAACTTTTCAATCTTCACTTAAGTTAACCAAACTCTACTAATTTAAGACATACTTTTCCAAATATATATATATATATATATATATATATATATATATATATATATACACACGTATTCTTTTAACGTTAGAGTTTTGTACATCGCGAAATCATGTTTTAATGTTTTACTTTCGTATGTATCATATGAGTATACGAAAGACCAACATTTTCAGAACCAAACCGGACCGAACCTAAAATAATATACAATAAACGCAGATAACAATGTAACAGAGCTAATGTCTGAAAGGAAACAACAAGCTGTCTGATTTAGTCCGGGGGGCTTCTTCTCTCTTCCCAAACGTGTGATCCGGATTCCGGTGAGGAGACCTGCAACGCCGGGGGAGGTTCCCGGCGGGAAAGTTCCGACGATCAAGTCAGTATAATATTTTTGAGTATATTTGTGAAAAGTGCATGTAAAAGCATGTAAAAGCATGTGTGTAAGAAATATAATGTGTTCTCCTATTTATAGATGATGAAACCTTGGCCTCCAAGGTTTCATTTTCTAGGGTTTCTCCCTGCTCTCAAGCCACATCTGTTGGGCCTTTATTACTTTGGGCCCGTCTTACCTCGTCTTGGTGCTGGGCTTGCGAGCTGTAGTATCTTTATGTCGTCACTGAAGTATCGCGGTTCGATGTTTTCTCTCGTAAAGGCGAGTTATCTCATTTTGATCCGTGTTTGTTTATTTAAGTCAGAATGGCCCGTATCAACTACTCCCCCCTACTCTATAATTATAAGACGAGTTCGCTTCTCGTTTTATAAGTGTGGAGTATGCGAAGTGATAACTCGATTTCAGATTTACTTTTGGTGGGGGCGCGTGCTCTCCGCCCCCTATTTATTATCCTGTCAATCAATGCCGTCGATTCGAGTTCCCTAGGTCATCATGAGGAAATTTCAATCGGTGTTTTTGCGTTAAGTTCGAGACAATCCGCTTTTGATCCTGCCCGTCCAAGTAAGCGGTTGAGATTTGATTCTCCCCCATCTTCTTCCCCTATAAATATCCAACTTATACCAATTTGCAAAAAAATTTCCCCTTTCACCTCCGTGCTCTCTTTCTTACTATTTTTCCTTCCGGTGATTTTACTCTCCGAAACAGAGTCATTACCCTTCGTGCCCACTTCCTTCCCCGACAAAGGTACTACTTTTCTTTCTGGTCTTTTATTACCCTCGTCTTATTCTTCCGATCGGTTATGTCTTCCCATTCTCCCGAACCCTTTGGCCAAAAAATGCCTTCCAGCCGCTGTTCCGGGGAGGGGGATGAATACCCCGCTCTTTCTATTTCCTCCTCTTCGGAAGATGGACCTTACTTCTCCCCCTCAGGCAAACTTTTGCAAAGACCTAAGAAGAGGGGTAGGAATGAGGCTCTGTCTTCTGCGAGGAGTGGTTCTCCTTCGTTATCTGGGGGGCGGGATTTAGATGATCAATGGGGGCCTAGCACTTTAAGTGAAATAGATCTGATTAACTTAGCTCGCGACATAGGCCTCCCTACTGATGTTGAATTAGTCTTGCCTTCGCGAGATGAGCGTCCGTTAAATCCTCCTCTAGGTTTTAGTACCTGGTTTTCGGAGCAGTTTTACTTCGGTCTTTCCTTCCCTATCTCGCCCTGGTTCTCCGAGATTGCCCAGTTATGTAACGTGTCCCTTAACCAATTCCATCCTCATGCCATAATCATTATGACCGGGTTTCGCATGCTCTGTGCCTGGTCGGGGGTAATTCCTACACCAGCTCGTTTCCGGAGCGTTATGGTGTTAAAGAACTCCAGTCCCTTTCATATTTCTATCTCGGCTCGTCCGGGTTTCAAGATACTAATGCCACCCAACAAGACTGACGGGTGGCAAGGTCATTACTTTTTTCGCGAAAAACCCTGTTGACACCCCCTATTTGTGCCCTTGGCTCGCCACTTTGCCCGAAAAGAAGAGGGGAAAACCTTTGGCGATTGATGACTGTTTGTTGAAAATGATAGCTCATTTTCAACCGAGTTACGGTATCCCGGATAGCCGTCACTTCTATTTTCATGACAACGGCACCCATTCCCTAACTCGAGAGGATTTAGGTGGGTTTAGTCATGACACCCATTTCTGCTTTGATTTACTGTTTTATTTCGGGTGGTTGTTCTTCACTTCGTTAATTTTGTACTTACTTATTTTTTGTCTCATTCATTCATTATATTTCCCTCAATCTCGTGGGCAGATTTAAGGATGAAGAGGATGTTTCGAGGTGACAAGCCGGCCACTCGTCCTTCCGAGCCGGAGCCTGGGTTCCAGGCGTCTGAGTTTCAGCGTCCTTTAGCCGCTGAATCCGAGAAACGATCTTCGGAGGAAGGGGCTTTAAGACCGAGACCCTCCAAGAAGAATGTCGTGCCTTCGCGTCCGCGAGGTGGGCCACGCGTTGAGGATCCCGAGCCTCCTCGGCGATCCTCAGCCATAGTTGTGGCCTCTTCTCCGCCACCCTCCTCAACTGAAGAAGTGGTAGAGAAAGAGCCCATTTCGAAGAAACGGAGGGCTGATTTGGCTCTTGGGCCAGCCGGGTCACCCCCACCCCCTAACTTTGCACTTCACCTCTGCCAGAATGCGGAGAATGCCATTGCCGCTTGTCGGGCTTTGGCATTTCCTCGAGATGTTGCCCACTTCGGGCAGATGAGTAAAGGTGACCGGCTCGAGTTGCTTTTACATAATATCACGCATGTTTGTTTTATTTTGTACACGCGAGTCAGTCCTTATCTTTATATTTTTCATTCACGGCGAACTTTATTTGAACTTCTTGTACGTGCAGCAATTCGCCATCGCTTTTTCGGGCCCTCTAGGATGGGACGACGTCTCGCGCGAGGCATATGATAATCAAAAGAAAGAGGTCACTCAACTTCGGAAGGAGGTCCGAGCTTGGAAGGAGAGTTTGGCGGTGGCGGAGTCGTCGAAAGAGGGTTGTTCGCCAAGGTGAGAAGGCTGCAAGAGAGGGAGAAGATTTTGCAGGCGGAGAAGGACTCCCTAGCATCCCACAATGCAAGCTTGGAGGAAAAAGCGAAAGGGCTTTCTAACGAGCTGTTCGCAGCCGGAGTGCAGGCTTCCTCTAATTTTACCGAAGGAGTAAAATAGGGGCAGAGGCTGTTTCCGGGATCGCCTGAAGGTCTCCGCTTTATAGAAGAGTTTGTTCGTCGCTTCTTTCACCGATTGTGGCGTTCGACCACCTTTACCCGAGAAGCTCCCGGCCTAGC